TCCCCAACACCGCTTGGTGCTCAAGGTCACCCAGAGCCACCTGGCAAGCAAGCCAGCCTCTCAAGCAGTTCTCAGCAGCAGCGGGCCCTGCCGACCGGCGTCCCGGGCCAAGCAACCAATGTCAGCCAGCAGACGGGAGGGTGAGAACATCGGGCTGGGAGCCTGTGCACGCGTGTCCTCCTCTGCCAGGTCACTCGCCGATGGGAGCGAGAATGGGAGCGGGGAGGCAGGCAGCGGAGGCCAAGGCCCTGTAGACTCAGAATTCCACCGGGCAGGACTTAGCATCCTTCCAGGGAGCTGGCCCCGTCAGACCAGGCTTCCTCTCCTCCTTCCCCCCAGCAAAGGGCCTCATGCTGCTTGCACATCCTCTTCTTGCAGCCCAGGCCCTGGTGTGCCTCAGCATGGGGAGCTCTCTGGGTCAGGACTGTCCATGTAGCCTCATGAGCCTAGGCAAGCCACGTAAGCCCCCAGGATTCATCTCCTCATCCATAAGATGGATCAGTACCACTTCTGCCTGCTTCAGAGCCCCGAGGTCAGGTGCCTGCTGGGAATTTTCTGGGAGGCCAGCCGGTAGGGAGGCATGTCCTTATATTCAACACACCCATTGTTAAATGCCCTTCCCGCTCGCCCCTTCTAGCCTCTCCCACTTTGCTTTCTCCAACACCAGCCCCTTCTCTGGGCACGAACACAGCATGTCTCACCAAGAGAAACGAAAGGGGAAGAAAGAGGAAGAAAAGGAACGCTAATCCTCTGGAGCCCCTTGCATCTGCTGGCTTGGGGCTCTGAGAGTTGGCCACTCCTTGGGAGGTTAAACGCACCCCAGTCATGGACTCCAGAGCAGCCAATTCCTACGGTCACTGCTCCCTGAAAACATGCTCGTTGCCTGAGGAGCTCAGATCAAACATTCAGAAACAGGCTTCTCCCGAGCGGACAGGGCTAGACGGAGACCTTGGTTGTTTTGGTGTCTGTGAAAACCAAAGACCCTGAAAACGAGGGGCACTGTACTGCTAGCACCGTGGGGAAGTCCTTCAGAAGAAGCCACTTCCTCTTGTTGAGGGGGCTCTGCGCGCCTTCAGGTAGCAGCTAAGATGGGGTTAGGTCCAGGACTGAAAGGATAAGAATAAAGACAAGTCATACAGCGTCTTCTGTGCTGGGCCCTAGGTGAGCCCCTGGATGCAACCTGTACGTTTCATCCTCCCCAATTCCTAAAGGGCCGGTATGGTTGTTACCCTGGTTCTCCTGATAGAGAAATAGAGGCTCAAGAGGTGAAGCAAGTAGCTCAAGAGGACTATCCAGCGAGCAAATAGCAGAGTTGAACTGGAGTCTGTTGCTTCCAGAACCTGCCCTGTGAACCTCATTCAGAACCTCCTCCCGTGAGGAAGGACCAGGAGATGAACTGTTTATTATCACTGGGACAGAGGGGAGGCCTCAGAAGCCCCTGCTTCAGTGGGGGAGGGGTGCCCGGCCAGTGTGGCTCAGTGGTTGAGCATTGAACTCTGGCTCGATTGCTGGTGAGGGCACGTGCCCAGATTGCGGGCTCCATTCCCAGGGTGGGGCGTGCCGGAGGCTGCCGACCAGTGATTCTCATCATGGATGTTTTCTGTTTCTCTCTCCCTCTCCCTTCCTCTCTGAAACCAATAAAAAAATATATTTTAAAAAGTCTAAAATAAAACAAATGGGGGAGGGGTGGTGCTGGCAGGAGGAAGTCCGCCCGTCTTTCCCAGCCAGGCTAGACCTGGGGACCACGGGTGACCAGCTGGCCCAGTTTGTCCGTGACTTTCCCAGTTTCAGTTCTGCAAGTCCCCTGTCCTGGTTTGCCTGGGATGATTTGTCACTGTACCTGTGGCCTTGGCCACCTCTGGGCCAGCTGCAGAGAAGGACACAGTGAGGACACAGCCTGGGAGGCCTTTGCAATTACATTAGCTCCTGGCCGCACTAGAGGGAGACTCTGCCTTCCCCTCCCCTCCCTCCCTCCCTCCCTCTCCTCCTCCTTCTCCTTCCTGTGCTCCCCGGGTGGTGGTGATTCAGCAGCAGGTCGGAAGCAGGCTAGACTGCGACCTACATGGAGTGGAGTCACCAGCGGGCGGGGGCTGTGAGCACCAGCTCAGGGCAAGAATGGGAGCAAGGAGGGGAGGTGGGGGCAGTCAGGGGAGGTGGGGGCAGTCAGGGGAGGTGGGGGCAGTCGGGAGGTGGGGGCAGTCTTGACTTGTTCAGGAACTGGACCCCAACAGAGGGCTTGCTGTCCTTCCCCAGGCCAGGACTGGGTGCCCGGCAGGCAGCAGGAGCTAGGATTACCAGAGATGGGGAGCCCCTTCTCCCCCCATGCCCCAGGATGTGAGGCATGGGGGAGTCCCAGCCCCTGGATACCTGAGCTGCTTCTCGGCATAATCAGCAGCTAAAAATACAACAGGGCTTTGCCAAAGGGTCCCACCCAGAAGCTGCCACAAGGCAGGAGGCCAGGTGCCGTGAAGGAAGCGTCCCTGTGCCTGCCATTCCCTTCGTTCAGCCACAGCCTGGACTCAGCCTCCACTCCACTAACTGTGCACTGCCCAGGCCCCAGGGCCTTGCGTCTCCCTCCCTGCCCTGCCCCCGGGGCTCCAGGAGGTGGCAGTGTTTGCAGATTTGCCACGAGCCCTCCAAGGCCTACAGTCTCCGTGTCCAACCCCAGCCTCACCTACTCACTGTGAGACCTTGACCAAGTTGGACAGCTAGTCTGAGCTTTGCTCTCCTCACCTATCAGAGGAGGCCCTACGCCCCCTGCAGTGGTGTAGAGGTCTTTGGTGGGAAGTGCTGTATTCTGGTTGAAGGACAGGCCAGCAGGGCATTTGCCTGGAGCCTGGTTTGGCACTGGAGGCTGGTTTGGCGCTGCAGGCACATTGCTCTTGCTAAGCATCCATGTTGCTTAGGGTGGCTGGGGTCTGATGCAGGCTGTGGTGGGGGCCCGAGCACCACTTAGCACCACCCTTGCCTACCTGTCAGGGTTGTGGCAAAGGGGGTGGAGTCTGAGTCAGGTTCTCAGCCAACTCTGGCCCAGCCTCAGAACTCCCTCTGCCTGGGGGTGGGGGAGCTGGTTGGAGATGCAGACAGGTTGGGGTAGGGCCCCACACCTGAATTTGTAACCAGCTCCCCAGAGGGTCCCTGAGCATGGCCAGGCTGAGAAACCACTGGTCCTGGCACAGGGGATGTGCTCAGCTCCTGTGAATTCTGCCCCTCTCCTCATGGGCTCTCTTGTCACAGGATAATACCTGTCTGACTTTAACTCCCTCACACACACACACACACACACACACACACACACATACACACACCACAGGGGGCTTTGGACAGGCTCAAAGGGAATCCTAGGCAGTTGATGGCAGCCAGGGGATGGTCAGTGGGCCATGGTGATGCCAGGCCCAGAGGGCTTCTCATGCTGGACTCCGGGGGAATGGGGAGGGGTAGTGGTAAGGGGAGGGGCAGCTCCTCTCTGCCATCCATTCTCTCCCCTTCCCCGGGCCTCTGTCTGCAAAAAAGCCTAAGAAATGAATTCCTTCCTTGGGAGTGGCACGTGTGCTGGGCAGGACTGTGCTCCCCTTCCCTGGGAATCCTCTCCGCCATTGAGCTTCAAGGCACAGCCAGGCCCGGGCACAGCCAGGCCCGGGCACAGCTAGGCCCGGGCACAGCCAGGCCCGGGCACTGTCTCTCCCTGCCTCCCTTCTGCCCCAAGGAGATGGAACTGCCAGGTGCAGGGAGGGGCACATGGGAGCTTTACCCTCCTGATCCTTTGGAGGCAACAGATTCATCAGAGCCTCCTGCACCCCGTCCGCCCTGCAGTGTTCATTCCTGTGGGCTAGCAAACCACTGCCCTTCCCACTGGGTGGGGGGATGGTGGCAGTGGCTGAACCTCTGTTTCCTCATCTGTAAAATGGGGGCGATAGGACCCCCCCCCCCTAATGTGGACGTGAGGTTTGAAAGGCAAGGACTTAGAATGGGGTTCTTAAACAGGAGAGAGGGGTCAGGAGGATGGATCAGAAATGCAGGTTCCTGGGCCTCGGCCCCAGCATTCCAGTTCACTGAGGTCTGAGCCCAAACGTTAGGAAGCCTAGGACTGTAGGAGAGGGGATTCCCTCACTTCGCTGTGTGGGCCAGTAACCTTGGAGCTTACCGAAGGGAGACTGACCCTGCTGTGCATTTCCAGCAGGTGCACCTAGCTGGCCAGTTGGCTTAGACCAGAGCCTGGAATGGGCATTTTATTTGACACATCCCAGCATTTTAGAAGCCTCTGGGGTTCCTCTGAGGATTGCAACTAGAAGAGGTGGTGGGAGGGGCCCGCTGGTGGGCGCCAGGAGGGGGGGGGGGGGGGGCTGGGAAATAGCCTGATCCTGAGTCTGGGTTCGTTCCTGGAGGGGAGCTTGGGTAGGGGCAGACCTTAATCATAGGGTCACACAAATGCATATGACTTGGGGGCCAGTTTGGAGGGGCGGGGGGGTACTGTTGAGGAAGATGCGCGTTAAGGGGGTGACATTTCAGTAGTGACTTACAGGTTGAGTGGGCATGAGCCAGCACGGCCAAGAATGAAGGGGGAAGCCCCGCTGGGGTGGGAAATGGGCTGCCCAGCGGGCAGCGCCTGGATCCTAGCAGCCAGCCCCCAGAGCCTGTCTCCCTGTTTACAAAGTGCGTGGGAACCTTCCTCGTCCTCCCGCATCCGCGAGGAAGGGGGAAGGCACCCAGGAAAGGGCAGGAGCAGCCGAGGGGGGCCCCTCCCGGCGGGCGGCCGGGGTGGGGCTGGGCGGGGTCGGTGCTGGCGGCGGGCGGAGCGGGGAGGAGCGGGGCGAACCCCGCCCGGAGGCCGGGCTGCGGGGCCGCGGGCGGGCGGCGCGGTGCGTGCGGCTGCGGAGCGGAGCGCGGCTCCGGCCGCGGGGTCACATGAGCCGCCGCGCGGGGACCCGCCGCAGCCGCAGCCCGGCAGCCCGGCTCCCGCACGCCCTAACCATGTCCATCTGCTGTTGCTTCTTTTTCAGGGACTATGGCAGCTCCAAGAGGAAGTCAGGTAAGGGACCCTCCGCGCGTCTTCCCCTCCCGCCCCCCCTCCCGCCTCGCGCGCGCTCCTCTGCGACCCTGCGGCCCCCCAAGTACTTTCTTAGGGGATGGGGGTCCCTGCCCCCTGCCCCCTGCCCTGCGGGGCTGCGGGGCTGGGTCCTCCCTCTGGCCCCTAAGACCTCTGGTACCTGCCCCTTCTCCCCCACCCCGCACCCCGCACCCCGCACCCCAGTCCCTCAGCTGTCCCTGTGGGGATGGAGAGGGTGCATGGGGGTGTGTGGGGGTGTCTCTTGAGGGGCCTGAGCCCCCACAACATTGACAGGTGATTCCCCCCCCCCCCCCCCCCCAGGCTGCGGTGCCCACTGCCGGGCACTGCTGGGACCGCTGCTTGGGTCCCGCCCGGGATGCGGGTGGTGGGAAGGTTAACGGAGACGCAGGGGTTTCCTCGCGGGCATGTGGCATCCAGGGCTGGGAAGGGGTCGCTCTTCACTGAGTTTTTCATGCCTGCAGCGCAGACTTCTTCCTCCTCTTCCTCCTCCTCCTCCTCCTCCTCCTCCTCCTCCTCCTCCTCCTCTTCTTCCTCCTCCTCCTCCTCCTCCTCCTCCTCCTCCTCCTCCTCCTCTTCTTTTTCCTCTTCCTCCTCCTCCTCCTCCTCCTCCTCCTCCTCCTCTTCTTTTTTCCCCTTCTCCTTCCTCCTCCTCCTCCTCCTCCTCCTCCTCCTCCTCCTCCTCCTCCTAGGGGGCCCAGAGGCCCTGGCCTTGGCCTGGCAGGTGCCAGGGCTCGCCCGAGTTTGCCAAGCGGGTGGAGACGGGAGAGGCGGAGCCAGCCCTCCCCGGGGCGCTGTCCACCGGGGTCAGAGGAGAGTGCTGAGTGCTCTCCGGGCGGGGCGGGCGGGGCGGCGGGGCCGGGCAGATGCCTGGTGTGGGTGGGGTGTAGCTGGTTGGGGGAGGGTGGCCCCTAGGAGTTAGAGCTGTCTGTGTACAGAGCGGGGTGGGGGTGGGGGTGGGGGGGTGGATGGATCCATGTGGGCATGTGTACGGCCTGTATTTATGGGGGTGGTGAGCTAGGGCGGTGAGCAGCCCTCTGAGGAGGTCTGGCCCTTGGGGGATGCGGCCAGTGTGTGTAACCACGTGGCTCACGATAATGGTTCCTGTGGGAGGCATGTGTCCTGGTGCCCTGGCCTGTGGGTCAGCAGAGTGGTGTGTGTGTGCCTGTGTGTGATGGATGGGGTGGGGGGTGGGGGCAGTGTGATGGCACAGTGTGTGTTTCAGAGAGTGGGTGTCTGTGTTTTAGGCGTATACGTGTTTGCTTATCTGTTTATTAAATGTGGAAAGTTGTGCCCTGGTTGATGTACTGGGGAGCCTGTGTGCACGTGGGGTTGAGTGGGTCTCCATAGTTGTGTGCTGTGTATTGTGTGGGTGCACAGATGTTGAGTTGTGGGCCAGTGTGTTGGGCTCTGGCTGTGGGTTGGAGCCTGTGTTCATGTGTTTGGTTCCCTGTTTTTTTGTGTGTTTTTTTTTGGGGGGGGGGGCGGGGATGTGGGATGAGATGTGTGTGCACGGCCCTGTCACCAGGGCAGGGGATGTCTCTGGGGTGCCCGCCCCCTGAAGCAGAGGCCTTTCCTCTGTGACCAGGCGTGTAGGCCGCCTTACGACCCTGAGGATTGCAGTGTCGCCTCAGCTGTCACTTGTAGTCACAGCTTCGGAGAACCGGAAGGACCTGCAGACCTGGGGCTGTGCCTGGGACAGCCCCCTCCCCAGGCCTCAGACCACAGTGTCCTGGTTAGGCCTGAGCTCAGAATCTGGCAGGTGTGACCTTAGGCAAGTTTATAACTTCTGCTTCAGTGTCCTCATTTCCTTCAAAACAAAGACAATAATAGTATCTATCTCACACATAGCACATGATAACCACGATGGAAGTATTAGTTCCTCTCTCTCTCCCTCTCTTTTTTTTAATTTTCTAATATATATTTTATTGATTTTTTACAGAGAGGAAGGAAGAGGGATAGAGAGGTAGAAACATAGATGAGAAAGAAACATCGACCAGCTGCCTCCTGCACACCCCCTACTGGGGATGTACCCGCAACCAATGTACATGCCCTTGACCGGAATCGAACCTGGGACCTTTCAGTCCGCAGACCGACACTCTATCCACTGAGCCAAACCTGTTTCTGCAAGTATTAGTTTCTCATCATCGTCCTCCTCTCTGAAGCCATGGGGCCTTGGGTGATCCCTTTTCAACGCTGGGCCTCAGTGTCCCTCTGTGAAGTCAGGGGCTGGACCAGGTAACCCCTCAGTCCCTGCATCCCCAGCCTCTGAAGCTCGGGCTCTGTGCTGCTCCTTCAGCAATCATTGCAGGGCCCCGCCCAGGGGAACACCCCCCCTCCTTCCCCCCCCCGTTCCTCTGCCTTCCACTCTCAGGCCGGGAAGAGAACGGATGGAGGAATTTAATTTATATTGGTGTGCTTAGGGTAATGGCCACTTAGAGTCCTGGTTAAAAGGCCAACTCTGGAGCAGAGCTTGGCTTTCCTCCTCTGAGACCTGGGGCAGGTATCTTACCCTCTCTGTGCCTGTTCTCTCACCTATAAATTGGGGATAATATTTATACACATTATAAAATATATTCACACACATTGCAGTGGTTTATTTCATTTAATTTTATGTGTCAATCTGACTCAGCCATGGTAAAGCATTATTCTAAATGCTTTTAGGAAGGTGGGTATTGAATGAGATTAACTTTTAACTTTTAAATTGGCGGACTTTGAGCCCAGCCCGGTGTGGCTCAGTGGTTGAGCACCAGCCAGTGAACCAGGAGGTCATGGTTTTTTGTTTTTTAATATATTTTATTGATTTTTTTACAGAGAGGAAGAGAGAGGGATAGAGTTAGAAACATCGATGAGAGAGAATCATCGATCAGCTGCCTCTTGCACACCCTTTACTGGGGATGTGCCCGCAACCAAGGTACATGCCCTTGACCAGAATCGAACCTGGGACCTTTCAGTGCACAGACCGACGCTCTATCCACTGAGCCAAACCGGTTTCGGCGGAGGTCATGGTTTGATGCCTGGTCAGGGCTTATGCCTGGGCTGTGGACTTGGTCCCCTATAGGGGCATGCAGAAAGCAGCCAATCGGTGTTTCTCTCCCATCATTGATGTTTCCATTGCTCTCTCTCTCTCCTTTCCTCTCTCTGAAATCAATGAAAACTTATAAATCAGTGGACTTAGAGATTTCCTTCTAAATTGTGTGCTGGCATCATCTGATCAGTTGAAGGCCTTACTAGAACAAGGACTGACCTCCCCTGAGCAAGAAGTCATTGTGCCAGCAGACTGTCTTTGTACCTGAGCTGCAACTCTTTCCTGAGTATTTAGCCTGCTAGCCTACCACATCAGATTGTGGACTCACCATGCCTCCACAATCATGTTATATGCATACCCACTTCTGTTTCTCTTAAGAAACCTGACTAACACACACCCCATATGATTATAATGAAGATTAGATAAATTTATATATATATATATATACTAGAGGCTCAGTGCACAAAATTCGTGCATGGGTAAAGTCCCTAGGCCTGGCCAGCGATCAGGGCTGATCTGTAGAGTGACAGGCAGGATCATCAGGGGGGCTACCCCTGACACCTGCCTTGGCTGGCCTGGCGCTGCCTGCTCACCAGCCTCACCACCTGCCACTGCCATTGCCGGTCGCCTCCTCTCTTTGCCGGGTAACTGACCTTGCTGCAGGCCTCGCTCCAGCTCTGTGCCAGGTGCTGTGTCAGGTGTTGAGGTTATGAGGGGTTTGCAGTCTTCTGTGAGCGGTGAGCTGTATTTACAAGAAGGTGTATTAGATGGAGGGATGGCATGGTTACCTGAGGAAGATCAGTCCAGGCCAAGGGCACACACAGTGAGTGCACAGGCCCTGGGGTGGGAGCATGCTGGCTTGCTCTAGACCAGCGTTTTTCAACCGCTGTTCCGCGGCACACTAGTGTTGCCTGGTGTGCCGTAGGTGCAGACAAGACAAGAATTTTACAATTTTTCACTATTTTGTTTACTTAATATTTCATAATAAAGTAATTATAAAATACTTTCTTTGTGTTTATTTGATTCCTATTCAAGAGAATTACTTTATATATAGTCAATATAGGCACAGAGTTAAATTTTTTAACATTTTCTAATGGTGGTGTGCCTCGTGATTTTTTTCATGAAACAAGTGTGCCTTTGCCCAAAAAAGGTTGAAAAACACTGCTCTAGACAAGGCAGGGAGGCTTGTGGCCGGGGTGGAGAAGAGGGGAGGTCCAGGTGGTAGGAAGTGAGAGCGGAGATGCAGCTGGCTGTGGGGAGAGCAGCACAGACCACTGGGGCCTTGCAGCCCATTGTAAGGATTTTGACTTCCACCATGAGATAAAGAGCAGCTAAGCCATACAACTATCAACTGAAAATTGTGCCTGCTATTAAAATATTTGGTCAAACATTTAATTATCGCCTCCCTAATGCCTTGGCAGGGCCAGGCCAAATGATTTCAAGGGCCTTATGCGGCCCAGGGTTTGGACATTCCCCATCCCTGAGGACAGGGGGCTGTGCCCTGTCTTGGATCTTAGAAGCCTTTTTCTGGCTGGTGATGAGACAGATGAGTGGTGAGGATGCCAGCTGCAGTTGCGGGGAGGGCTGGATCTGATGGCGGTGTGGGCTGTGGGGGAGCTTTCCTGGGCGCTGGGAAGAGTCAGGTTGTATGGACTTCCAGCCTTAGTCCCACATGTTGCTGGTCAGGCCACCTCGGCTCCGTTACCTCCCCTGTTCTGTTGTGTTAGTCAGGGGTCAACCAGAGAAACAGAATCAGGAGGAGCCATATCTGTACTCAGAGATTTCTTGCAAGAATCTGGCTGACTAGGCAAGTGTGAAATCCAAGGGCAGGCTGGGGTTTGGCCCACAGGTGAAACTTTTTTTTCCTTTTTTTCCTTGTGAAATCCCAGCTCTGCCCTTAAGGCCTTCCAGCTGATTGGCTCAACACCCCACCAAC